TGGTTCAGAGCCAGCCAAACAGAAAAATTCAAGGTCTCATCTTATCGCCAAATGGCAGAAAATCAGGACTGGAGGCATGGCTCAAGTGGTAGAGCACCAGCCACAAACAAAAATATGAGTGTGCTCAAGGCCTAGAGGTTAAGCCCCCATACTCACATAAAACAAAGAAACCTAATATATAATAAGCACTTAATAAGATCTCACTATATAGAGATGATTTATTATATATTATCTGATGAGCTCTTATTAGCTATTATGGTTAATTTCTTCTCTTAGTGACTTCTTTATTTACTTTTTTTGTAGTATTGGGAATTAAACATAGGCCTTCCTGCATGCTAGGCAAGTGGTGTACCACTAGTTATACCCCAACCCTGTCACAGTTATTTTTTATCATCATTTCTGGAATATCTGGAAGAATAGAAAAGAACACAGGTCTGTTTCCTGCCCTTCTAACCCAGATGCTGTTTGTTGTAAACTGAAGCTTTCCTGAAGTATGCAGATAACTTGCCATAAATTCAACCACCACAGTGGTAGAAAATAGATCATTGGTTGTCAGGGGTGTTGGAGTGAGTGGAAGATGTGATCAGGTTGGAGAGAATGAAGGAAATTTATGGGAGAGAAAACTTCGATAGGGGTTATTCAAAGCTATAGATGTATTAAAATCCATAGAGCTATAATGCTAAGCACAGTCATATTTTCTGTATTGTAATTTAAAATATAAAAGTAAAATAACACCTTAAAAATAAAAGCGCAAAAGTGCAAAGCCGAGCACCGGCGGCTCACGCCTGTAATCCTAGTTGCTGAGGAGGCTGAGATCTGAGGATCACGATTCAGAGCCAGCTCGGGCAGGAAACTCTGTGAGACTCTTATCTCCAGTACACCACCAGAAAACTGGAAGTGGTGCTGTGGCTCAAGCAGTAGAGCGCTGGCCTTGAGCTGAAGAGCTGAGGGACAGTGCCCAGGCCGAGTTCAAGCCCCACACCCGACAAAAAATAAATAAAGTAAAAGTGCACTGAAGGGGTGAAAGTGTCCAAAAAGAGATGTATTCATTACCTGATTTATGAAACTAACCACTCTGTACATCACCTTTATAATAACAATAAAACTAAATAAAGAGCACTATGGAGAGTATCCTAGGTGTAGGTGTCTAAGCTGGCCTAGCCCTGGTGCTGCCTGACTGGCATTTCCGTTGGCATAGTATGTATACCCAGGCTTTGCCTACACTTTCTGACCCATCATCACTTACTGGCTTTTTCCTTCCTCATGTTAGATTGGAGCTGGAGGGAGCATCACAGGGCTGAAGTTTAACCTTCTCAATACCAACCAGTTCTTTGCCTCTTCAATAGAGGGAACAACTAAGCTGCAAGACTTTGAAGGCAACACTCTACGAGTTTTTACCTGCTCAGACACTTGCAAGTGAGTAATTTAACTAGTAAGTTCTAGTTCTGGTAAGAGCATCCGGATCCCATTTCTTTTAGCCAGACATGGCACAGGGAAGAATGGAAATGTATTAGCTACTTTCCACCCCTTCTTCTCTTCCTCAAACTCTTTCGTGCTCTGATTTTGGTCCAGGTGGATAATTGCCTTGGGAAGCCTTGGCCCTTCTCAGGAAAAGGCCTCCGTCTCTTCCTTAAGGTGTACCTATATTAAACTAGGCTTTGACTCTCACAAGCCAAGCCAATAGGGTATTAGTTCAGAAAACCTTACAGAGAGTGAAGCAGGAGCTAAGAATTGAGGTTTCAATGCTGTTCATTTATTGGGCTGTAAATACTTGACTAATTTTTCAGTTGAAGCTTAAAGTAAGAGAACCCTCTTCCTAAGAGAAAGTGACTGGAGAAATTAAAAAATGCAAATCGCTTTAATTTCTAGCCAGAGACACAACTTCCAAGAAATGAATGCGAGTATGACATCTAACTAGCATTGGGTATTATCTTAAGCTATCCCATGGGGGTGAGAAACACAGGAGCCATCAAGATTGGTGACTGGGCTTCAGGTTCCTCTTCCCCAGCAGCCTCCTCCTCGCATTCAGGAAGGATAGCAAAAGGCAGTGCAGCAAGATGTTGAGGGCTTCAGAGAAATAGTGTGACTCAGAACTCTTCTGGCTGTGGATCTGCATCTATGAGGCACGTACTACTGAATCTCCTTGTCCTCAAGTAGTTTTCTAATGGAAAGAGCATCTGGGTTCTGTTTGCTTTCCCTAATTGTTCAGAAGGGGGCAGACATTTCTCTCTAGCTAGCTGTAAGCCACAGAGCTGAACATTTCCTGTTTGGTCTGTCATCTTTGGTTCAGAGGGTGAAGAGTGACTGGTGAGAGAACAGTATACAAGTTTGCCTTAGAACCTGCGCTGTATGGGACAAGCTAGCTTTGGGACTTGCCCTGTGATTCTGAGGTTTAGCTGCTCTTACTAGCTGAGGATGCTGGCAGAGCAGTAACTGGATACATGGTAAACAAATCTGGGTGTTTCACAGCAATCCATAGCAAAAAAGTTATTCATTAAACAATATATTGAATGCCTACTGAGGGTTAGATTGGAGCTGCAATTGTGAATAAATGGATCCAGCTCAGTCCTGAGAGTTACAGCATAGTCTCTCTCTTTCTCTAGCATCTGGTTTTGCAGCCTGGATGTGTCTACCAAAAGCCGAATAGTAGTCACAGGAGACAATATGGGAAATGTGATCCTGCTGAACATAGATGGCAAGGAGGTATATACGGAGGTCCAGGTTATCCCTTTTCCCTCCCTTGGTTCTGTGTCCCCACCTGAACCAGCCTCTTTCCCACAGCTTTGGAATCTCAGAATGCACAAAAAGAAAGTGACCCATGTGGCTCTGAACCCCTGTTGTGATTGGTTACTGGCTACAGCCTCCGTAGATCAAACAGTGAAAATCTGGGACCTGCGCCAGGTTAAAGGGAAAAACAGCTTCCTCTACTCCCTGCTGCACAAACATCCTATCAACTCAGGTGTGACATCTTAAACCTCATCTTTCCTGCAGATCCTTCTTGTTTACCACTCCTGCAGTTTTTCCTGTAACTTTGAAAGCTATTAGGTCAAACATTTATCTCCCAAGAGCATCTTGCCAAGCTGATGACTAGGAACCTTTCTGGCTTTGGTTGCTCCTTTCCCTGGTGAATTTTTAGAATATTTCCAGAGTCTTTCCTCCTGTCCACTTCTGACTAGAGAGGAATAGAAGGGTGGTGTTCCTACTAGGAAAGGCCTCTAAAGGCCAGAAGAGCAGGGGTTTGGGAGATCTTTTAGCTTAAGGGGCTTTTCACTTTTTCAGCTTATTTCAGCTCTGATGGATCCCGCCTCCTGACAACTGACCAGAAGAATGAGGTCCGGGTTTACTCTGCCTCACAGTGGGACTGCCCAGTTAGCCTGATCCCTCACCCTCACCGTCACTTCCAGCACCTCACACCCATCAAGGTGAGTGAGGGAAGAGAGCTGTTATCATGGGAACCAACCAGCACTGACCAAGGAGCATAGAGGGGCAGACATGGTCAGCCTGCAATCAGTCCCAAACACAAAGCAGCAGTCTGTTAACCCTTTGGCTTTCTCTGTCCTTTCACCCTACTTCTTCAGTTCCATTTTGTTCAGCTTTCTCATTTTTTTCTTTTCCTGTTTTTGGTGCTGGTACTAAGGCTTGAACTCCAGGTCTCATGTGCTTGCTCAGCTTTTTTCATTCACAGCTGGTACTCTACCACTTGAGTCATGTCTCTAGTTCTAGTTTTTTTTTTGCTGGTTAATTGGAGATAATAGGAGTCTCGTGGATTTTCTTCCCAGGCTGGCATCAAACCAGGATTCCTTAGAGCTAAACCTCCTGAGTACATAGGATTATAGCTGCGGGTGTCCAGCTTCCTGAGTTTTCTTAATGTCTCTCTGATAAACTCTTTTTCTTGTCTCACTGTAGGCTTTTTTTTAGGGGGGGGAGAGGCTCTCTGTTCTACACTCTGCTTCAGTTTCCTATGTGCAGCTGCTTCACAAATTAACCTTCACCTTCTAAGTTTGTCTTGCAGGTTTAGGTGGCTTCTGATAATAGAAATAAGTCCCTTACTTTCCCAATTTGGATCTCCATTTCAACTTAAAAAAGGAATAATAGTATCTAACTAATAGGGTTGTTGTGAGGATGAATCAGTATACTTAAAGCACTTGGCACTATACCTAGCACATGGTGAGTACTTAGTAAAAGATGACTTAGTATCCCATGTATCTCAAATCAAACCCAATAGGGATGGGAAGGTGGCTCAGTGGTAGAGTGCTTGTCTTGCATGCATGAGGCCCTGGGCCCTCAGCACCACATAAGCAGAAAAATCCAGAAGTGGCACTGTGGCTCAAGTGGTATAATGCTAACCTTGAGCTGAAGAGCTGAGGGACAGCACCCAGGCCCAGAGTTCAGGCTCCATGACCGACAAAAAAAAAAATCAAACCTAATAATAAATAGCATCAAAACTCCTTCACCAGTTGCTATTCTTGTTAATCCATCTGTTCATATCTGCCTCATTGTAGCTCATCCAGATCAACTTCCACTTGTTTTTTTAGTGACTTCTTTTTTTTTTTCTTGGTTGGTCATGGAGCTTGAACTCTCAACCTGGGCGCTGTCCCTGAGCTCTTCAGCTCAAGGCTAGAGCCTCTACCATTTAAGCCACAGTGCCTACTTCCAGCTTTTTCTGTATATGTGGTGCTAAGGAATCAAACCCAGGGCCTCATGCATGCGAGGCAAGCACTCTACCACTGAGCCACCTTCCCAGCCCCTTAGTGACTTACTTCTAAACCACTTCTGGTTTTTTCTGTGTATGTGGTGCTGAAGAAGTGAACCCAGAGCCTCATTCTTGCGAGGCAAGCACTTTACCACTGAGCCACCTTCCCAGCCTCTTAAGTGACTTACTTCTAAACCACTTCATATACCATTTCTTCTTCCTTTTTTTAAAAATTGTGTATGTTTATGTGTATATGTGTGTGTGCATGTGCCAATACTGGGGCTTAAACTCAGGGCCTTGCATTCTTGCCTGGCCTTTTTACTCAAAGATGGCACTCTACCATTTGAGCCATAGCTTTACTTACAGTTTTTTGATAGTTGATTGGTGGTAAGAGTCTCATGGACTTTCCTACCTAGGTTGGCTCTGAACAGTGATCCTCAAAACTTAGCCTCATGAGGAGCTAGGATTACAGGTGTGAGCCACCAGTACCCAACTTTCTTCTTGTTGCTGTTTTTTACTTCCTTCAAAATTCCTTTGAAGCCCAGTTGTAGTGGTACACATCTGTAATCCCAGCACTCAAGAAGCTGGGTCAGAAGAATCTTGCTGTAGAAAACAAATTATTGTCTCAAAGAAAGAAAAAAATCAACTCAGCCTTGTGCTTGCTAGGGAAGCACTGTACTGCTTAAGCTATGGCTTTTTTCTTTTTTTTTTCTTTTTTGGTGCTGGTCCTGGAGCTTAAACTCAGGGCCTACTTACTGTCCCTGAGCTTCTTTTGCTCAAGGCTATCACTCTATCACTTGAGCCTCAGCTCCATGTCTGATGTTTTTTGAGTAGTTTATTGGAATGACAGTCTCACAGACTTTTCCTGCCTGGGCTGGCTTTGAACCAAAATCCTCAGATCTCAGCCGCCTGAGAGCCACTGGTGTCTAGCCATCCTCTTACTTTTTAAGGCTTCAAAAAGAAAAAAGGAACTTGTTGGCTGGACCTTTGAAAGAGCTTTACTACTCAACCTCGACCTAAAGGTCTATTAGCTTTACTTCCTTTATTCCAAAGTATTTAAAGCTATCTTTTCCTGAGTAGTTCAAATTTCTGCAGTACCTGTAAGTACATGTTGTGGAATAATCAATATCCCTCCCAAAATTCTTTGTATTAAAGCCCTAATTCCCAATATGATTTTGGCATAAGATACTAGGAAGCTATTAGATTTAGATGTGGTCACAAGAGTGTGGCCCTTAGAAAATTAGTAGCATCCTTATGAGGAGATAGAAATGTGTGTTTGTGTGTGCACTGTTTCTGGGGCTTAAACTCAAGGTTTGGGTGCTATTCCTGAGATTTCTGCTCAAGGCTAGCCCTCTCCCACATGATCCACAGCTCCACTTCTGGCTTTTTGGTGAATAATTGGAGATAGTCTCATGGACTTTCCTGCCTGGGCTGGTTTTGAACCATGATCCTCAGATCTCAGTCTCCTAGTAGCTAGGTTTATAGGCATAAGCCACCAGCGTCTGGCTTTTCTTTCTTTCTTTCTTTCTTGTATTGTTGTTTGTTGTTGGTTTTTTTAAAACCTAGGACCTCATGCTTGTTTGGAAGGTACTCTACCACTTGAGCCACACCTCCAGCTGCTTTTACTTTAGTTATTTTTCAGATAGGATCTCTTTATTACCTTGGTCAGCCTAAACCATGATCCATAGCTGGGATTATAGGCATAAGTCACCACACTCAGCTTATATAGGTTTTATCTTCAAATTTAAGTTGTTAGCATTTTAGTAGCAAAAAAAACTTTTTTTTTTTTTTTGTCGGTCATGGGGCCTAAATTCTGGACTTGGGCGCTGTCCCTCAGCTCTTCAGCTCAAGGCTAGCGCTCTACCACTAGAGCCACAGTGCCTCTTCCGGCATTTTCTGCTTATGTGGTGCTGAAGAATCTAATCCCAAGCCCTCATGCATGCAAGCACTCTACCACTGAGCCACCTTTCCAGCCTACAAAGAATACTTTTTATGTCCCTCTTTACTTGTGATCAACTTCATCTCCTAGGCAACCTGGCATCCTCGATATAACCTCATTGTTGTAGGCCGATACCCAGATCCTAATTTCAAAAGTTGTGCCCCGTATGAACTGAGGACAATCGATATATTTGATGGAAACTCAGGGAAGATGATGTGTCAGCTCTATGACCCACAGTCTTCTGGTATCATTTCGGTGAGGTTTGGGCCCTCAAATAGTGGTGGGAGGAAGCAGGGATTCAGCCTACTTTACCAAAAATTGGTCCTATATGCCCTCTGTCTTTGCCAATACCTTCCCCATCTTCTCATGCCAATATTCTTATTTCTCCAGCTCAATGAGTTCAACCCCTTGGGGGACACACTAGCCTCTGCCATGGGTGAGTAGAAGCAGGTATATCTCAGAAATGTCCAGCCTGGCCCAGTTTCATGCAGGGTGAGTTCAACCTGGTCCTGCCACATACACCCTAGGGCCAATAAAAATGCCTGGGGGATCTAGTTATTTCTAGCCTTGACCCTTAATTGTGGTCATAACAATGCCTGGCTGCTCTCTAGTCTTCTAGCATTTCCTTATTAAAACTTAGCTCCCTTAGGCCAGCCCCAAGCCCTGACACTGATAATGGAAGGTATATCAGACTGCTCTTGCTCTTCTTAGGTTACCACATTCTCATCTGGAATCAGAAGGAAGTGGGGCCATGGAAAGAAAGAGAGAGACACTGAAGAAAGTTGAGCCATAACTTGGAGTACAAAATGGAAACAAGTTCTTCAGAAGAGGCAGCTGTTAATAGGCCAAAAGTGCTACTGTCTTGGGGTTGGAGCAGGGACACTGGCTTAGCAATGTCCTTAGCTCTGGAAACTTCAGGCAACCCAGCTTCTCTAAAGATCCCTGCTATCTAGCCTGGAGCCAAAGTAGTTTTCTCCTGTTCAATTTTTCCTTGTGTTGCTGGGGATGGAACTCAGGACCTTGTGCCCTGCTGAGCTATATTCCCAGCTACCTTTTTTCCCTTCTGATGTGTGGTGACAGAATGATGAGGGAGTGTTTTTTTTATTTGTGATTACTATAGACACAGCCAATAAAAACATATTTAACTGAGTTTGTGAGCAGATCTATCACTGACCTAGTCAAAGGGGCTCCTTGGGTCTCAGAAATGAAAAGGCACAAAACCAGCACTCACAATCCAACACTTCATTCTTGGAGCTGCCTCAGCCCTATTTTGGGCCGCAGTTGAGAGCTGTCCAGTTGTCCATCTCCATTTACCCTCAGGTCCCTGAAGAGTCCAGCCCAGCTGAGAAAGAATATCTCAAGATTCTACATGATTCACTCCCCTTCCCCCCAACTCCCTCCCCAATGCAACACAAACATCCTTCCAACTTGCCCACACCACCTGCAAGGGAGGACAATAGTGCCTGAGCAGCAATAGTGTCAACACTAATGGTGGCTTCAGCCAAATAATGGGAAACTTGGCCGGTTGGTTGTTGGGCGATCTGGGCCTTTGGTAGCCAGTATTGTACCCCCAGTGGTATGCAGTCTATCCTTCCAAGTAAACGTTGAGTAGCAAGACAGAGTCCTTTGCCAAAGACTCCAGGCTGGAAGAGACAGAGCAGGGATTGGTGGAAGAGCAAGACAGATTAAGTACTGGCTCCTTCAGTTCTTTTTTTTTTTTTTTTTATCCCAGGTTCCTGAGTGAAACCTGAACACTTCTCCATATCTCAGGTCCTTAGGGAGTATGAAAGATGCAATCCTGTTTAGAGAAAGCCAGTGTCCGACACAGTACTTGATAAACATCAGGCATGTCAATGCTGAATGACAGGTGCCATGGGCCAAACCAAGCCCCACTCATCTGGGCTGGGGTAGTCAGGGAGGCTCAACCCAGGTTCTGTCCATGGGCTAGGGAGCAGCAACAGTCAGGAGGAAGGGCCCAGCCCACCTCCCCTAGGAGGCAGAGGGAAGGGGGCTGAGTGGTTGTCAGGCATGATCTTCCCTGTCTGCGACGTGGTGGTAGCCAGGAGGCTGGGCCTGCATCCGGAAGAGGACAGTGAGGAGCAGCACTATGAGAAGGAAGAGGATGGAGCCACAGACAGCCAAGGCCACGATCACCTCTGGGCAGGGGGAGGGGAAGAGAAAGGTAATGTTAGCATTCACTCAACAAATACTGAACACCTACTATGTGCCAGATACTTTTCTGACATTCAGAAGATATATAAAGGTGGTCAAAAGTCTGTCCACATCAAGTTTACATTCTAGGAGAAGAGATTTAATAAATGACAGGAAGGACAGGTTAGTGATGAATACCATGAGAAGCAAGGTAGGTAATTCAGGGAAGGCATCCTTGAAGAGGTGAGAACAGAGCCTGGAGTCAATGAGTGAGACATACACAGTGTCCTGCAATGGGAGAGTCAGGAAGCAAGTACAATAGGCTCTGACAGGAATAAACATGTTCCGAGATGAGCAAGAAAGTGTCACTGAATTAAAGTAAGCTAGAGGGAAGTAGGAAATGGGCAGAAGACTAGGACAAGTAGGACCTAGGAAGTCATGGTAGAAAAACATTTCATTCTCTATGTGATGGGAAATGTCTAATGGTAGTGATAGGAGCCAATCTGTTTTGTTGTTTTTTAAAGAAATCAACTGCTATATTGAGACTTGTAGGGGAGAAGAATAGAACCAGAAAGGTAATTAAGAGGCTTTTCAGCAGTTCAGCTAAGAGAGGGGCGTTAACCAGAGAGGCAAGTGCATGGTACCTGAAAGGTTGAGCTGAGAGGATCTGCCAATGATCTGAGTGGGTATGAGCAGCACAATGCCTGGGGTTGTACGATGTGACTAGGTGACCAATGTGGTATATACTAAAATGGGGAAGTCTGGAAGATGAGCAAGCAGATGTGGCGGGAAAGAGCATTTGGTTTTAAATGTATCAATTTAAGATGTCTCATTGGACATCCATGTAGAGGCCTTAAGTCAGCACTGAGTATGTCTTACTCAGAGAAGAGGTCAGCAGTCTGTGGAGGGGGAAGCCAGTATGGAAGCTGTCGGTAAGTTAACAGAATAACCAGGAGAAGCCAAGAAAGTAGATTTTGTTGTTGTAAAAATGATCTCAGGGCAGAAGGGGGAGCTGTCCAGGTAAATGCAGTAAGATGGCTGGAAGTGTGACAGCACCCTCAAAATTAGGGGATGTGAATTTGGCATTGATCTGGGACATGACCAGCATGTAGTCAGGTGGCAGCTCACCTGTGTCTGCAGAATCATTTGCCAGCTGGCACTCCTGCTGCCAATCCTTGGGTATAACAGGCTCTGTGAGGCGAAGAAAGTCCTTCAGTGGGCAGTGGTGAGGGCACCCAGGTAGGATCAATGGCCAGGGGGCCTGCTTGCTTTCATTCCGAAAGTACATCTCCACAGAGAAATTCCTGGGAGTTGAAAAGAGGCAAGATGGAACTGCTCACCAGGCTCATAACTGAGTCCCTAGACTGCCTTTAGCCACACCCAAGAACCCCTCCACATGACACACTGGGAGCTTACCCATCATCTTCCTGGTACAGTTCAAATATGTGGCAGGAAGCATAGGGGGCTTGTTTACCATTGTAGACATCCAGTGCCATTTGCAGAGCAACTAGGGTAGTGTCGTGCTGCAAGGGAGAGGCACTGCCTATCAGCATTGCTCACTCACCCCCCAACCCCCAGAACTGAATAGAGAAACCCAGCTCCTGCCTTGAGGCCAGAGTGCTGAGGAATTTAGGAGCTTACCGCAGAATAAGCCAGCAGTTTAGGGAGTTGGGAGGTGGTGGCCATTAGGGTCAGATTTTTCCGTATCTGAGCCAGCAAGACTCCTGAAGAAGAAAAGTCCCAGTGTTTGGGTGTAGCCATCACTGTCTTCAGTGATGCTGTATGATCTGCTGCTCTCACTACTGGCTAGTCTTGGGTGTGATTATAAACCCAGAGAACTCTTCTGATTCATGGGGACTAAGGGAGCTCTGCTTCTTGCTCTCAAGTCAGATGTACAGAGGGAAGATAAAGCAAGGTTACTGTGTGTGTGTGTGTGTGTGTGTATATAGTATATATAGCTATATAGTTATACATATATAGCTATATAGTTATACATATATATATATATATAGTTATATAGGTCAGTCATGGGGCTTGAACTCTGGGCTTGGGCGCTGTCCCTGTGCTCTTCAGCTCAAGGCTCAGGCACTTTACCGATTGAGCCACAGCACCACTTCTGGTGGTTAACTGGAGATGAGTTGCATGGGCTTTCTTGCCTGGGCTGGCTTTGAACTGAAATCCTCAGATCTCAGCCTCCTGAGTAGCTAGGATTATAGGCATGAGCCACCAGTGCCAAGCAAGGTAACTGTATTTAAACAGACAGAAGCCTGCTTATTTATAAATAAGCTGTGAGGCCCCACCCATGTTTGATTACCCAATCATGAAACAAAACGTAAACTTTAACCTACTTCATTACACACAAGATAGAGGTTCCATGCCAGGGTAACTGCCACATACAGGCTCTGAAAATTACTGAGATGTTAAAGGTATGAGAGACGGTATACTCTTGAGTATTCAAATGAGGAAAGTGGTGCCTTAGCCTTCTCTCCAAAGAACCCAGTAGGTCTCTGGAAGAAGGCTTGAAGTTAGGGGAAGGAGAAGAGGAGGTCTTCCGACATGGGTGAAGTTTAGTAATAACAGAAAAGAATCATGCACACTTGCTTATGAGCGCAGACACACAGGGCACATAAATGTGGGATGTTTTGGGGAGACTAAAGGGAAACAACAAGACAGCGATCTGGTTTTAAGGGAACACAGACTAGTTCAGGTAGACAAGTGTAGGAGAACACCCACCCTACCCCCTCATAATACATTTTTCAGTGCCGGAGAGTCCTCAGGAGGCAAGTGACATGCCACTCTTGCCACTCACCCCCCTGAAGCCGGGCCTTCTCTGTTTGCTCGTGGATCCCAAAGAGGAAGCGGAAACTGAAGTCCTTTAGCTGGCTCAGACGCTGCATGGTTTGGGGTGAGGCCCAGGGCGGCAGGATCAACCCGTGGGTTTGCTGTGTATTGCAGCAGGTCGGTTAGCTCCCCAGACCTAGGCTAAAGCCTCTCCAGGGGCAGCTCTCTTCCCCAGAAGGGAAGTGCCTGTGTGTGTGAGGGAAGGAGAGGAGAGCAGAGGTGAGGGAGAGGAGCTGGAAGAGCAGACATGGTAGATGGAAGGGCCCAAGAAAGGAAGCTCAGACACAAAGTGGGAGACTCAGCAGATCACGGTCTCATACCCTGAGAGCCATGTGTGGAGAGGAGTACAAACTGCTGACAACTAATAAACCATTTCCCACTCTGATGTTCTTTTAACCCAGGAAGGAAGTCCCCTGATTTCTCAAGCCATGGCTTGCAGAACCTCCCCAGTGGGAATGGCTTATGTTCTCCATCCTTGTGACCTGGGCCTGTTGAGGGGGAAAAAAAAAGCAATTCTACTGAGTTCCCCACGGTGGGCTCACCTCACAGAAGAGTGTGTCATAGACATTCCAGATGGTCTCCAGGGTCAGATCTGTAAGCCCCGTCTCATTGGCCACCATGTCCAGAAATTGCTATGAAAATGGATTAGGAGATCAGCCCTAGCCAGTAGAAAGAGCAACCTGATGAACTCCAGCTTCAGCCACTACTCACCATGTTCTGAATACTCTTGTTCTGATACTCTGGTGTCTGCCGAGTCTCATTCTGCAGCTGCTCATAACGGGGACATGGGCCCAATGGGAACTTCAGCAACTGCAAATGAAAGAAGGGAAACAAGCACAAAGGAATCTGGGATCAGATGGTAGGCCCCTGGCCAGTTATCCCCTTCAGTATCTCCAGGGAAGGGCCGGCCAGTCTTACCCTGTCCTCAGTGACAGGCACAGTGTGGACAGGGATAGGCTGCCATGAGATGTTAGGGTTGAAGCGTTGCATCCCATTGGGAGGGAAGAGTCCAGCCAAGTTGGCCTCAGCACTCATGAGGGTACGATCAAAGTCTGTGCTTCGCACATAAACCTGCAGAGATAGCAATTTGAGTATTACCTGTGTGTGTATACATGCACTTTGGCCCCTTATTGGGGCCCCAGGAAGAACCTGTTCTTGATGGTTACTCAGGACACTATAATCCACCATGTATTTTCCCCACCTCTGGCTTTTACCATCCCTCAGGGGCCCAGACACTCATCTGGGGGCTGTCACCACTGTGTAAAGAACTCAGCCCCTTCCCCTCCTAGTCAAAAGTTCTTAGGAGGAGCCAGGCATTGGTGGTTCCCGCCTGTAATCCTAGCTACTCAAGAAGCTAAAATCTGAGGATCATGGTTCTAAACCAGCCCAGGCAGGAAAGTCCATCAGACACTTATCTCTAATTAACCACCAAAAGGCCAGAAGTGGTAACTGTGGCTTAAGTAGTAGAGTGCTAGTCTTGAGTGAAAAAGCTAAGGCATAATGCCCAGGAAAAGAAAAAAAAAGTTCTTAGTAGGCTATCTAATCCATGGTCCATGGTTTTGTTTTGTTTTGTGTCATCATGGGGCTTGGACTCCTGGGTACTGATTCTGAGTTTTTGTGCTCAAGGCTAGCACTCGACCATGTTGAGCCACAGCTCCGTGGTAATAAGAGTCTCTAGACTTTCTTTTTTTTTTTTTTTTT